ATATGTATGTATACTATTTTTATACCTCCTCTCCATAACTGCAAAAAAGTTAGGTACAATAACACTTGTCAGCCCACATTAAATATGCCACAAAATAAACTGTTGAGCGTTGTAGTAAAAATGCTACGACAACAAAACCAACAACAACTAAATCAAAATATAAAATATATCATCTAAATAAAAATAAAGCTGGCACACAATGCCACAGCAACAAAAAGCATCGTCCAAAAAGCAACTAAATAAACAAACATCCGGTAAATGTGGTCGCGGTTCGTTCGTTCCTTCATTCGTTGCTCACAAGTGGCCATTGTGAGGGAGTTGTAGACGCGCAGGCTGTTGATAGCACACCGGGGTGTGCTTCATGGAAACTCTAACACCCGTAAAGCATGCTAGTTAGCTAGCTCACAGGCGCATACAGTGGGTGTTGGCTGTAGAAAAGTGCAAAAGAAGTGCTGAGATCTACTTGGCTAAGAAAAAGGATGCAAAGATTTTCGAATTCAATAAGAAATTCGCTCTTAAATAAAATGCTCAAAAGTTCCACAACTAACAAATTTACAAATTAATTGCAATAAATTGTTGGTGTTTAATGGGGGCAGCAGTGGGATACTACAAATCGCTAAGCTAAACTTCAATAGCCAAATAGGTCTAACTGTATAAAATATATGCCGAAAAGTATGCAACATAAAAGCAGATGAGGACTACATAAAATCATTATTTGTTTGAGGTGTTGCATACTTTTAGATATTCAGAGATTTTCTACATTTAGAGACTTTGGAGAGTGAAATTTCTGTACCTTTTGAATAGGCTTCTTCTCTTTTAGTGTGCCTACTTAATTTTGAATACCAGTCCTGTTTTTTAAATAAAATCCATGAGGGGATCTCCACAATTCTAACGGATAATGATAGTTTTCTTGACTTAAAAGTGAATTTTTCAATTGTCCACAGGTTTTATGAAATGGACTCTTAAGTGGATAATGATTAATCAACGCTGGAAAGCAAAGGAAATTCGGGTATGAATTTGCTGGCTTTTTGTGTGGGATGTCCTTATAGCCTGGCCTAAACCTTGCAGACTGCAGAAATGTAAGAGCTACAACGTGAAACTACACTACCCAGAGAGCCACTCAAAAGCACACAAAAAACTTCGTTAAAATCGGTCCGGGAATTTAGGAGGATCTCACCCATAAATAGCCCATTTTTCTCCATGAGTATAAGATTGATTTCATATATCGCCGTACCAAGTTCCAATATTCTACCATGAACACTTCCAGAGACATGCAGTATGAACAAATCGGTTTTAATGGGAGGTGCCACGCCTTCTTTATATATCGAATATTTTTTTAGCCTATAACCATCCTAGGGACGTCTGAAGCAGGTGTCCAAAATTTCAAAAAAATCGGTTCGACCGTTCTCGAGCTTTGCGAACACATAAAAATCGGCTTTCAAAATATGTAGTGTTATAGAAGATTGGTATGAATCGAAATGGTTTTGAATATGTACCACAATATGAGTGTCAGACGAAAGAGGTTTAAAATGGTTGCCAACTGTTTAAAAGCTTAAATTCAAACTATTCAATAATTTAAATGAATTATTAAATACAATATGGGTATCAATCTAAATGATTTTTAAAGGGTTTCATTTCAAAACTACATGTAAGAGGTTTCCATCCGTTTAAAATCTCAAATTGAGTTCAGGGGATAAGTTAATTGACAAAGTATGACAAGTGTGAAGTTTAAGAAGGTTTAGTTTGAAAATATTTTGAAGATCGTTAAACAAATTTTAAACCTTCTGTTTTTTAATTGAGTTTTCTTAAAATAAATTTTACTCAATGTAGCACGTATAAATTACATACACTCATCGAAGCGGGTGAGAGCGTTCTAGTAAAATATACTTATGAAAAAAACTGCAATGCAATTGCAATTTTTAGACGTAAAAACTTTGTTTAAACTTATATGGCCTCATTCATAAAAATTTAATTAGTTACAAGAACTTTATAAAGTGACATTTTCATGGAAAATTTCGATTTATAAAGCATTTGGAGGATAGTATGTAACAAAGTAAGTGTGACATAAAATAATTTTTTATGTTTGTCAGCGCTACTCTCCGATATGGCTTAAATAAATTCAGAAGGGCTTTCTTTGTAGATAAAATAATGCCGAGAAGAACATACACTACTTTATATGTCGGATATATTTCTTGCAGGTAAATTTGGCGCTAATTATGTAATTGAAAAATAAATGAATTTTTCGTTTATCTCTTTGGACGCGCTAATCTCCCGAATTAACGAAAGAAATCTAGCAGAGCTTTCGCTTGTGGAAAATAATTTATCCGATCGGAATATAGCGTACTTTTTGTAGATATCAAAAATTTGGATCGAAAGGTGGCGCTGGAAACGATATACTTGTAGTTACAGTATTTATCGCATGTAAGAGCTCATATGTGGGTTGAGAAGACTAATGGTTCCTGGCTGTTGTTAGGTTTTTGATTTTGAATATAAGACCACATTTAAGATATTTTTTTCAGGATTTTAATTATACCACAATTTTAGCCGCACAACCGCACTGTGCGCCCACCGGTGTACAATAGAGTGAAGCATGCGATTAGGGTCATTTGATATGCATAACTCTCCAGCGCGCACACAAACACAATCGCGGTGCTATGCACGCCATAAGCAAACACAGTGCTCCACAAGCACCCACAAATAAAATGTTCACTGCCATGAATAGCCCGTCAGTCGCCCAGCCATTCAGACACACACACACACACACGTAAAACTGAAGAGTCATGAGCGGCGCCACTTGCCCTCGCTCATCAAAATTTCAGCACACTTTCAGGCACAAAATGGCATTATGCTATACTATAGCGCTATAAATATTTTCACGGAAATCATTTTTCAAAGCTAAGCTTGTTGTTATTTTTCTGCGCCATGCTGCTACGAGCGCAATAAATACTTATTTTTCTAGTGTTATTTTATTTTATACTATTTTTAGCAATTTTAGCTTCGCTTTTTGCTTTTTGCTTTTGTTTTATTTACATATATTTGGTTTAGTTTATAAACTTACCATGCCCACTTGCCGGCACATAAACTCATGCGGACGCATACAGAAATCACCCGCTGCCACCGAGGATGCCAGGTAAATGCCAGCCAGCAGCCAACAAATGATAATACAAAATAAACCGGATACGCTGAAGAAGATGAGAGCACAACGCGAACGACGCGCTACACCAATCACCAGTATGGTGCAGAGTAGCAGGAGTAGTGTGAGGAAGCCGAGGGTTACGGGCCAACGAATTGATTCGTATAGTTCGCCGAGCTGAAAAGAAAATGTAGGTAGAGAGTGGAGAAAAATGTATGAGTATTTAAATTTTGAAGTAGAGTTGGTGGAAAGTTGAATTTAGTAAAATGAGATGAAGTCTAAAAATGTATTCATAGAGAAGCTTAAGTTGAAGTGAAGGTGCATCCAAGATTTGTATGCAATGAACGAAAAAAGTTTTTTGTACGTACAAATAGTTATATTGCAGTTTTAGGAAGTTTAAGCTACCATCTTAGCAGCGGTATTTGTAAACTGAAAATTTCCCAAAAAAACTGGAAAATATAGACTTTTCCAGCCTTGAAACTGATCTCTCATTTTTGAGTCTCGTGTTTTTACTTAAATTAAATATTTTCAATAAAAATTTATGTCTCTAATTTCCCGATTCGCTCATTAATGAAATATTTTAAAGAAATTTGCTCCAACTTACATATAATAATCCCATAAGTGACGTATCGTTTTCGCTGCCTTTCGTTTTCATGAAATACAACACCATATTATCGAGACTGGTGACAGCACGTGAGGTATTCTCTCTCACCAATTGACACGTGTCGATTAGCAGCATAACTGCTGTTTGATTGTATTGTACTTTTTCGATTTGTTGCTCGAGTTTGTGTTGATACATTTTCGTTTCGAGATCATGTTTGATGGATTCAGTCTGAAAAGAGACAAGCGAAATTAAAAAAATTAATAATTACCTATGTATGTTTGTATGCATGTATTTGCTTAACATACAAGTGATGCCGGTGCGTATGAGTAACCTAGGCACCAGCAAAAAATATTTATGTATTTCAATTTCTTGTTAAAAAGATATAAATAAGAAAGTAGTCTTTGTGCAACTCCATTTCGTAAACTGTACAGTATTTTATATATCATTAGAGATAGAATTTATTAACATCCTGTTACTCAATCTATTGAAATATAGCCACGATTATGATCTACTGCAAAACTAAAGGTTTCTTCAATAATAAAAAAATTACCTGTTCTGTTAGGGAAATTTTAATAGATGCTCTTTTATATCACACAGAATACATAGCTACAGAAATGGGTTTGCCTTATTTTTATAAAATTTCCCTCGAAGGGAAATTTTTTGATGTTGCACAAAATAGAAGTGTTTCACAAAAATTGGAATATTGCATATTGGACTATAATGAAATATACGAAAATTTTTAAAATTATTTAAAAAGAGGCGAATTCAAAAGAAAGCTTTGCGAAAGCCATTTCTAATTTGTTGTTAGAAAATTTTCTTTGGACTGAAGGTTTTGCAAGTAATCTTTCAATTTATAATAAGCTTCTTAAAACTTACGAAATACTGAATTTCCCTTTGAGGGTAATTTTCTAACAGAACGAAGCTTTCGAAATTAGCAGTTTGTTTTGAAAAAAATATATATAATATCGTCGTTTACTGGTCTAAGATCCTATGCAGATGAGAAGTTCAAATTAAAAGATCTATAAAAAAATCTTATTGCATTTATGGCCAAAGTAATGAAATTTCCGTATCGAAAACTCTCCTTAAGCTTGTGCCAAAACAGACAAGTTTGCCGAAAGTCGTTTCTGTCTTTTAAGAAGATTTCCCTTCGAGGGAACTTTTTTTTAGAATAGTATTTTTCAATGTAACAAACGCTTATTTAGTTATACAAATCTTAAAATACACCAGTTTTGTGGTCTAAGATCCTATGCAGATGGGAGGTTTAAATTAAAAAATCTATAACAAAAATATTATTGCATTTATGGCCAAAGTAATGAAATTTCCGTGGCGAACACTCTTCTTAAGCTTGCGCCAAAACAGAAAAGCTTGCCGAAAGGCGTTTCTGTCTTTTTTAGAAAATTTCCCTCAGAGGGAAATTTTTTAGAATAGTATTTTCCAATGTACCAAACGCTTATTTAGTTATAAAAATTTAGATTTTAAAAATTTCTCTCAAAAGTAAACTTTTCCAATAAAGAATTTGGAAAATAAAATTTTATATACACACACATTTAGCTAAAATAATGATTAAGTAATATTTTTCACAAAAGGTTACAAGGAAATAAGTATTTTTAGAGAGAATCTTATCAAAAATCCCATAAGAAAATTTTGTTAGCGTTTTAACAAATTTTCTGTATAAAGATATAAAAACTTAAATTTAATAAACAATTTCCCCTCAAAGAAAACTTGAAAACGCATAAACAATACAAAGAATTTTTATAGCAGCTTATGTATGTATAAGAAGATGTAAATTTTACCTAAGTTAAAAAATTTCTAAGAAGGAAATTTAAAAACATTTACGATTTCACCATATCTTCTTAATTATTGGAGAAATTATACTTTTTGTGAATTTCCTGAAAATTCCCCTTGAGGGAAGCGAAAAACTTAAAACAATTCTTTATTGTGCAGCACGTTTAATTACAAAAGTTTGACTCTGCTTGGTTTGAAGAAAAATTTCTTATGAAGATTACAAACAGTTGAAACTTTTTAGCATTTTGAGTTTGCGCAAAGAGGTAAATAAAAGAATTTTTGCTTCAGGCCCAACCTATAAAGGAACTGGCTTAGTTCGCTTCAATTCCGCTTATAATTTTCGAATAATTTCTTCGCACGTACAACATACCGAATTCCCTCGAAAATATTTGACAAATTTCAGTTCTATTTTGATTTTCTATGAATATAAAAAGCTACATATTTGCCATACATATATTTATGCAACTTGCCGAGTTGGAAAATTTGCCACATCATCATCAGCATCGCCATCATCTGGCTAACAGCGGAGTTATTTGGACATCCTGAGAATTTACACACACACACGTATGCACATTTACACAGCACACTTTCTTTTCGAGTTGGTAACCCTTCCGGTTGGCAAATAGTTACTCACAAAAGCTAACGAAGCACCAGCCGTTATGGAAAAGCAATTCACTAAAGCAAATCTTTGAAAAATCAACGCAGGAAAGTAGTACTATGTTGTACTTCTATGTATATAGTAAACTTGGAAAAGTTTGGTTGAAAGAAAACTTAGCGGTTGTGGCAAGTTGACAGCAACGTGGCACAAACTATTTTCATAAGTAATTTCTTGGAGGACCCATGCAGGAAAAAATGCATGCATATAAGATCAAGTGTGTGAACATAACTAAGCACAGAGGTGCAGTGCATCGCAGTGAGTCGCCGCTGTTCGTTGGAGAGTTCAAATAGTTTTGAAGTTCTATGAAACTCTTTATTAAATAGACGGATGTGAGTACATGTGCACTTAGAAATGTATACAAATATGTGGGTATTTAATATACGTACATATGTATATTTGTAAAAAAACTTTTAAATCCACTGCGTATTCTAAAAGCATATTGTGCCTAGCAAGAATAAATGCAAAGCGGATGAGATACTGCCAAAAGACTAACAACTAAATAGGGGTAATAGCAAATGATGAATTTACTTTTGAGAATTTCATATTTTCTGCTTAAAACTTCCACTTTTGTGCGCTTATCGTGAATGGTTAGTAGTTTATGTATGAGGAATAAGAATCAAAGTTTTTAAGATTCATAAAAGCCGAACAAATTAAATTGTCCCTCAAAGGAAATTTTTTTAAAATAAGTTTAGGCGACGTAATAGTTACAAAAGAACATTTTCATAGATGTAGGATATTCAAATAAAGAAATAC